AGAGACCACTGCTGGGAATACGCCTCTGCACGACCCTGTCGCTCGTGACGCCAGGGAAGGCATGCCTGCTGTCCTGGTTGGCTCGTCGGGGCCGCCTGCCGGTGGGCTGGAGTGCGGCGCCGCGCTTGAGCCTCTCCGCACGCCACCAATTTCCCCAAGCGAAGGGAATGAATCGACACCGGGTGGGCAGCCAATCAGCGAGCTGACGCCGGAGCACCAGCCAATCAGCGGTCTCGAACCGGAGAATGTTGGTCGTTCGGTTGCTCAGCCGATTGAAGTGTCCACGTCATCGACGCGCCGCGTAGTGGATCTGATGGCCGAGCCCGGTCACCAGGCCGCCAGTCGCCCAGCGCAACCAATCGCACCTGCGGCTAAACTTTCGTATGCTTCCACGTTACGGCGGGCCGTCGCAAGGGCCCACGACGGCGAGGTGAAAGCTACACTCACTAGGCCATCTCGGTCCATGCTGGCGAAACTTATCCAGCTGGCCGACGATGATGAAACCTCGGACGCCACGATGCTAGAGGCGATAGAGGAAGCTCTGCCATATCCGAAACGTGTCGGCACCACAACGTTTTGGATAGAAACGGGTGAGGCATTGTCGTCAGCCTCAAACGATCAGATCATCAAAAGTCTGTTTAACGAGAATCAGGGAGCTTCATGGAGCTCCCTGATGACCTCGTTTGTGCAAGTGAATAAGGCCCGGGGTGGGGATGTCGTCGTCACCGTAACTGAGGAGGCAGCTCGCCTCGGGATGCTGGGTCAATCTGTCCGCATCCTAGGCAATACATACTCCGTCGCCTCGCCGTCCTCGTCGTCCTCCCGAGGCAACGCCCACCGGTCGCATGATGAGTTGCAGGACCTATACTATATGGACATCGTGGGCACACGGTTCAATTTCGACTCACAGGCGCTGCTTCAGGCGCTTCGCAGATTGAAAACACGGCCAGTGTTTGTCTGCTACAAATTGACGTACTCCATGAGGAGTCGGACGAACACCGTGCATCCCAATATTTGGCGGGCTTACTTCAGTAAACCGACCCCCCCTGCTGGGCTCCTTGTGGATGGACGTCCTGTGGACCAAATTCTCCTACATGGGACACACTACGGGGTCTACGTAAAGGGATACGAGAAGTCGACGACAACTCGGCATGGACGTACTTCCCCTTATTGTCTGGATCTGGACAGGGTCTTGGGGGATGCGTCTGGAGGGCCTGGTGAGGAGCCGTCGCACTCACATGACGAAAGTAGTAAGCGTGCACGGGTCAACTCTGCCCCCCCCGTCGGGGCGTCGCAGCCATCCCCCCCAACATCGCAACCACCATTACCGCTAGTCGACCTGGTGGAAGAACCTGTGGGGGAAGTGCTGATGACACACAAACCTGTGGAATATGTCGCCCCTCATGCACTAGGGCAGACAGTAGTCGAGGAGGAAACAGCACGGACATCGGCGGATGTCT